TGAATTAGTTTACGTAATATGGATAAAAGTGACTGAGGAGGAGGAACAGACAATGAAAACCTTCGGAAATTTCAGCATATTGGAGGAGGACACGAGGGTACCAGACTACATACTACTCAATTTATGAGGTCAAAGATGGGTCAATAATAGATCATGTTGGGACTTACAGTTAAGGGCTTGAACTTGGTTTTAGTTTTAAATTTGATAGTCAGCCTTTTTAGCAGCTTTAATGGAGAAATGAAATTATTTGATTATCTCAAGATAATTCTTCTGAATTTTATTTGAATAATTATCCAAATATCAAATTAAATAAGAAGTATCATTTACTTTTTTAATAAATACAAACTTAAATCTTTATAAAGTCAACAGGTCTTTAGCTTTATAAAATTAAATGCATAGATTGTTGAGGCAATTCATACCATAACAGTACCTGACTTAACAACTTGACCCAAGTTCAACCCTGAAATATCACTCTGGAAGGAGATAGCTGCTTCCTGAAAGCTGTCTTTTCATCTTCACATGAACACTATGGCACATGTGTCCCCCTACATACTCGTATGTACACACACACACACACACACACCAATTCACAGAAGTAAAAATAAAACCCATGATCTTAGCTAACCAGAGGAAGTATGAGAAGTGTGTTTGTTAAAGACTAATATATCATGTTAGTAATTGTGGTGAAGTACACATACAATTAAGAAATCGGATATATGGAAAATGATAGCTATACTGAAATCCTTAAATTGTACTTAATTTGCTATTGAAGACATTGTACAAAGTCAAAGGTAGCCACTGTTACCAGCTGATCAAAATTTCGCGGGTGCTTCAAGCATGTTTTGTAACAAGACAGAAATAACTAAAGTAATAAGGCCAAGAAATGAGAGAAAACATTAAAATAACATTGTTATAAACACAAAAGTATTATGAACGCTCAAAAACCGTTAATGATATGAGTAGACAATTTTAATATGAAGAATATCCTAAATTACAATTTATATTAAGGTTATTAACATGTCTGTAAAGCAGGTTTTTAAAATATGTAAAAATCAATATAATTTTCATTTTCTAAGATTAGCACTTATAAACCTTAGAATCAACTTACAAAGTTCCCTGAGTCACAGTTAATAAGCATGATATGCCCTGAAATAGATAGTTTGGCAAATATTAATTATATTCTAATTTATTAGTACATTTAATAAACCAATTATTAAAACTATAGATACATTCTCTTCATGTCAGTCAGAAATAATAAATGAAAGAATAAGGACACATGAAAAACACCCTTTATTTGATTAATAACAAGAGTAATTACTGTAAAGATTTTATTTGTGAACCATTGTATTACTATGACAGGTATTTTTGTTTGTTGAATAAGATTAAGAGATCTAGAAGACATCATAAAAACACAGAAATTTAATTTATATGATTCAACACTCAGATAAATGGAAAAAAATCTATTAAACATTTTTGAAGTTTTAATATAAATAAAATATAAATAATTGCTAGAGTCCTAAATTCTTCCATATGAAAATGAGCATGTGGATTTAGGTCTTAAAAATGGTACAGAACTTCAACATTGGCGTGACCTATCCTTAGGAAATTATCACTGTACGGGGTATTGGGTTTACACCTCCAACCACAGTCTTAGGCTAGATGCAGTGGGATCAAATCAGGACCTCACAGTGAGAATGAAAAAAAGAATAGAAAAGAGAAAGAGGGGAAAGGGGGAAGAAATGATGGAGGGGAGAAAGGTGGAAGAGAATGAGGAAGAAGGGATTGATAGAATTTAGCCAAATAAAAGCAAAGAACTATTTTATAGCCTCATAGACAAAGATTTGAGATAATACGTTTTGCTAAATTAACCACCAAAGTACATTATTCAAAAAAAATTGGCACTGTGTAGATTCGTAGGAATAATGGTACTGAATAGATTCATAAGGAAGAGAAAAATAAAAATCAACTTGGAAATTAATAAGAATTTTTTCACAAAAGGAATAAAAACAGTTTATAATCACAATAGACTAATCTCTTTCAAATGGATAATATGTAAATTGCAGTGCTGATGTATAAATTCATTACAGTTTATTGGGGAAATACTGTTAGAGGAAGACGTGCTTACCGGGACTTGTGCAGTGGGAATTCAGTCCATTATTGACGGAAGGGAAACTGCCATAAGAATTTTGGAGAATGATTTACTATGGCCAATGATATAAATTACTTGAACACACAAATATACTATTTGATATATTCCTCAGAAAATCTTGTCTCTGGCACAAGGGTATACAAAAGTGTTTATAGAAGGATTATACATGATAACTAAAACATTCAAAACATCCAACTGACCTCAAATCGAATTTATAGAAATTAGCGGTACTGAACGATTTTGTACATTGACACAGATTAATATAGAAAATAGTTGTAAGTGGGAATAAAATCTTTGGACATGATTAGATTTCAAATAAATTTTGAATGCAAGCAAAAACCGTTTAAGGGTAAATACACAGTGGTAATAAATCTGGAGAAAAGTAACAAAGTAAGCACTAGATTTCAGTCTCAGAGGAGACACAAAGGCACACTTAGCATAGATATGGTACCTACAGAAGTAATTTATTTTAAAAATCTAGTCATGTCTGTCTGAATGATTTAAAATGTTTTCATTTAGGGTATAGTGATGTATCTTTCAGAGAGCCATTAAAAAGCCTTATATTAGTCACTTTTTTAAAAAAGTTACTCACTGGGCAGTGGTGGCACACGTTTTTAATTCCAGCACCCAGGAGGTGGAGGGCAGGTGTACCTCTGTGAGTTCAAGCCCAACCTGGTCTACAAAAGATAGTTCCAGGACAGGTTCCAAAGCTACAAAGAAAGCGTGTCTCGAAAAACCAAGCCAAACAAACAAACAATCAAAAAATTACTCACAACTAATTTGTATAAAAATATACTGCATTTTCAGATTGTTTGGATATTCATTTATCCATGTAGAGATAAACCACACAATATGTGGTATGAAACAGAAATAAAGGGAAACAGATTGATTTATTTAATCCAAAATTAGTTCGCACCAACTGAAGGTATAATCATTTATATAAAAGTAATTAATGTGATTTAATATTATAGTTATGGAGTCTGGAATGTTGACCATTAATGTGATTTAATATTATAGTTTTGGAGTCTGGAATGGAGTTAAGAATGCATGCGGCTCTTCCAGAAAACCTGAATTTAGTGACCACTGCTCACAGGGGCTTTTGCTTCATGCGCTCTGATGTTCTCATCTGACATCCATGGGTACTGCATTCACGCACACAAGCATACACAAAATAAAAATATAATAAAATTTAAAACAGTTATTAGAATCTGATGCCCAAATCACTATTTATTTTATATATCATTTATTTACCAAATATTTAATCATTATGAAATTTCTACAATGTAGACTATCAGAAATATGAATTGATTTGCGATGTAGCACATAAACAGAAAGGTTAGAACTTTAAACTAGCTGTGTCCTTTCCCCATAGATCTGTCATGTCTACATATTCAAATATTGCATTGCTTTTGATGTCAGGAATTGGGGCAGTTAGAATATGAAGAACTGGATGCTATTAAGCTCTACATGGTGTTAGCTAATTAATGTTCATTATGTTAATAGAATATTAAAGACTCAATGTTATATAAACTTTGGTGAATATCTACCAAAATTATTCTGAGAGTCAATGATTTACTTAGTGTTAAACCTTTGTTCAGTATTTTTGATGATTTTATTTTTATTATTTTGTTACAGATTCAGTTGATAAGGTTAAGCAAACATTTCCAAAAACCCTTGTGTGTCCTGAAGCATGAAGAACAGATGGCCATATTAATATAGGTGGACAAAGCCTGGTGGAAATAGGAGACGAGAGGATTCACAGGTGAGGCAGGTGGGGAGGAAAACAGTTTTGCGATTCTTTTCCTTGGCTTATTGTCAAGGTGGGGAGAGGAGATCTAAGAAAAATCAATTCTCTTAAAAGAGGAACTATCGTTGGGATGAGCTGCTTTAACGAAATACAGAGGTGGGTTCTGCTTGATAAAAAAGAAAAGACTATGAGAAAAGAGTGAAAAGACCTATAATTAGATCAGTCCTGCCTGATGAGAACAGCCCTGCACAAGTCAGAATGATGTAACTCTCTAGCTGCAGTTATCCTGAGGTGTTGTATTTGTAGAAGGTTGACCAGGACGACCTCTTCCTGGGTAGTCATGGTTGTGCTCCCGGCTTGACCCAGGGGCAGTACTTCACTGCTGTTTGCATCCAAACAGTAGTCACCCTATTTCTGTGACACCGTCGCTGTGAGAGAGCAAAGTTACTTTGGCTGAGTGATGGAATGGGGACACCCTGGTCTGCGCGGTCCCCTTCCATGGATTGCTACTGATGTATCCTTCTGAAGATTTCATTGCAAAACTCCATTTGTTTAAAGGATATTTTTGTCATTTCTTTCTGTTAGTTATTTCCACTAGCTAGAATGTTACACAAATTCTAACCTAGCTTGGTCTATTGAACCATTACTCCAAGTATCAACACTTCAGATTTCCAGGTGCTCTAGTTTATGGACTTGCTACAGTCAATGAACGTGCCAAAATCTTGCGGCATGACCAAGTTGCTTTACATTGCCATTTAGATATAATTCATCCCAATGTGTGAATCTGGTTCAGGTTTCCAGGTCATGTGTCATTGGTAAATCTCAAGATCACCCATAGAGTTATTTTTAAAAGGCCTGGAAACACAAGAGAATATAGATGTGACATTTTCAAAGACCTCTTCTGGAACCAAGGAGAGGCCGTTCATTATTTGCCTTGTCTGTGAAATTCCAAGTCATTTTGATTCTGTCCAATGTTGATCCCCAATGTTCCCATAAGACAGACATCTTTACTGCATGCAGAAGGAAAACCGACCTAAGAGCTTTGCTGTGAAAAACGAAATACGGAGGTAAAAGCCGCGCTTGGTCTTACTCTGAAGTTCGTACCTGAGCGCAAAGCCTCTTTCTGAATGCTTTCATAGTCATGCCAGTCTTTCCTTCTCAGACCATCTGTCCACGAATAGAATTGCCCATCTCCCAGGCCCAGTGGAAACGTCTGTGGAAACAGAAAGTATTCAAGCATAAAAAAGGAGGTATTTTCTTCTGCATGGTTGATAAACACAGCAGGGCACATAAGAGGCAAGGCAAGAATATTTTTTAATTAAATGGCTTCTCTGAATATTTGAGATGAAAACCGTTGGTACTGACTGGAAAAATCCACATTCTGAGCCCCGTTTTAATCTTTAGAGTGAGAAAAGACCCACATACAACCACATATTATTAAACATTTTATTTAATCTAGAGACTGTGTTAAGTACAATTTATCCTCCCTCGTTGTTTTCTTTTGTTTAATTGATTTTGTTTGTGACTGGTGAAGTTTTATTTGTTTGGGTCAAAAGTATTTGAATGGCTTTTTAATAATATTAGCAACTGTTCATTGAGTGCTCACTATGAGATCAGTACGCCATTAAACGTGTTACATATAGACTTTTAAGTCCTTTTAACAATCTTGAGTTACAAATCCCCATTTTTCTGGAAATCAGACTGAAGCCAAGAGAACTATAACAACGTTGTTAAAAGCACTATGCCCACACCATGGTTTGAACCCACTCTTTGAAGACTGGCATTGTGGCCTTCATTGACACCAAAGTACTAGATAAAATTTCTAAGATTTCTGGTCAAGTACAGTTTGTGTTCACAATGAAGGTTCAAATGGGAACCCTAAATCCAATGTGTTGTGATATCAACTTGGAAAGTCCCCTTGCTTATATTTCTGGAATAACTTTATTTCCTAACTTATGTCCATGGTTTAGAATAAGAAACTAAAATGATTTTAAAAGAAATTTATTTTCACAATATAGTTTTAGTGACATTCTACTTGTATTTTAATAAATAAAGCTAAATCCCAGCCTAAGAGAGGACTGTAAAATAGGAGGGCGCAGCTCTCAGGCTCATTCTGCGATTCCTGGAGGCATGATCACCATTTCGGATTGATAGTGATGTAACAGCCAGTAATTGACTGGTGCCTTTCAGATCTTCAGATTGAACCCCACTTTCTCGCTCTGAGTTTTTATTAATCTTGCTTCCCATAGTAGCCACGTAATAACTTATAAATAACATGAAGAAGCAAAATTTGCAATGTAGAAAATGTCAATTTATTGAAAGGTGTATACAATCAATTACATATTTTTCCCTTAGAGTATTTCGAAGGCAAACAGAATATCTTATCTTTTAATTTTAGATGTCATTTCCATTGCATTTTTTATTTACCATTACATTATTTTTTATAGCTTACAGAATAATGCAATACTTTGAAAGGCTAGAAATAAGATATAATGGTTAAAAAACCAGTGGGTTTAAGTCAGACTAAAAGTCTTCTTATTTAGATGACAAACTCACATAGTTCAGACATTTGTAAAAGTTTAGGTCACTGCAGGGACAAACAAGAACGATGACACAAAAGAGCGATAATGGTGACTGCACACAAATATTAAGAGGAATGAAGATGAAAAAATGAATTTAGGCAAAAAGGAATCATGAAGTAGAGGGGGGAACCGTATGAGGGTTGATAGCAACCGTTTAAAATTACAATAGCACACTAGCAAAATCTAATGAGAAATTATAAGTAACTGAACCTAAAGTATTTATATACTTTATAGATGTGATTTATATCAGTCAATTTACAAGTCTCTATTCCTATAGGTAAGGCTACTTTTAAACACAGATTGCAAATGAACATATTTGAGATGTCACTGGGAACCATCTTGTGAAACAAACTTTGTCTGTTGACTTAGAATGCTGCATTTCCCCTGTTTTCACATATTTATGGTAGAGACCTCATTGCAACTCTTTATTTAGATATATTGAACACAAAGTTGATCTTTAGATTTTTCTACAAAAGGAAAAACAGAAATAAAAAGAAAAAGAAAAAAAAGGAAAAGCAGGAAAGAGACCAACACATACAGAAAAAAACAATAGTTGGATTAATTGTCATGAATTGATCATAGATTGAATTAAAATATCTTGTAAGGCAGCCTAAAATTTTGGAGACAAAATTTCAATGACACCCAAGGACAAGAGGCTTCAGTAATTATTTGAGAGTGAGGTTAAAAGGGACTAAAAGATTAACTTCGGGCTGGAGAGATGGCTCAGTGGTTAAGAGCATTGCCTGCTCTTTCAAAGGTCCTGAGTTCAATTCCCGGCAACCACATGGTGGATCACAACCATCTGTAATGAGGTCTGGTGCCCTCTTCTGGCCTGCAGACATACACACAGACAGAATATTGTATACATAATAAATAAATAAATAAA